GTGTGCGTGCGTACGTGCGTGCGTGTGTGCGTGCGTACGTGCGTGCGGACGTGCGTGTGTGGGTGCTTGCGGGCGTGCGTGCGTGCGTGCGTGTGTGTGTGTGCGTGCGTGCATGCGTGGATAGTAGAATATTCACTTACTTTGGATCTGTTGTAGCACAGGTAGCTGTAGTTCTGATACCACGGTGCTAGGACCTATGGAAGATTTAGTGTAATTCGGAATGATATTTGACTTATATAAGAAGACCTAATTTGTATAATATGAATTTTGTGAACACAAAATTACTTTTAGATTTTGAGTTGGTGGTAATATTTAGTCCAAGAGAAAAACTATGAAATTCATGTATTCCTGAAGCTAAAATGTGCGCACTCATTACACATTATATGTCAACGTTGTTATGTATGCGCAGTAGATCGATTCTAAGCAAGAACCGAGCTTGTAAGGGCGCTTTCCCACTATGTCGTCACGTTTTATTTTCGTTGGACGACTGTCGTGTCTAGCCTGTTCCCATATCACGACTATCTGTCGTGAACGAGTTTTTATCGTTGAACGACTGTCGTGATTAGCTGTTCCCACTAGATCGTGACGACAATAGGAGCTGCGACAAACTGTCGTCACGTTTTTATCGTGACGTTTTTTTATCGTCTGACGACTGTCGTTCTAGCTGTTCCCACTGTGATGATAGTTTGTCGTTGGAACGATAAAAAATCGTGAACGACAGTTAATTGTATCTGGCTATATGTGAACAACTTCATTTAAATATACAAGCCACGACACTGTAAACTGCACGACAATCTGTCGTCGCGACATAGTGGGAACGCGCCCTAAGACGTGAAAACTGAAATATGCAGCTTTATAAAGTTTGCTTGATTAAAATGACGAATGTCAACCTTTATAAACAGTGATCGACTCTACCAATGAAATCGAGAATCGATGTTAAAATAATTAATTACATTTGATTACAAGTATTATTAATATAATAATGATATTTGTGATAATTAACTGCATCTTCTTATGTCTTCCACCTTTGTTTAGGTATTCGGCCGAATAGTAATTTAATATTCTCTTTTCGGCCGAACAGCATACCGAATACCGAATAGTAACCGAATATTAGTTGCAACAATAATTAATGGGAAACTTGAAGAGTGTACAAAAGTCAAAACGGCCACCATAGCGTGCCGGTACAGAAAATTTGTTTTATATTGACAAGCTGTAATTTGTAGTGACAACAAACAAATCCACTAGGTGGCGCTGCACAGATTTATAGTGCTGGCTATTCTTTTATTTTGTTTAGGATTAGCTCCATCTACCCATATTAGGAAACGATTGTTTATAAATTAGTGTGTAATATACAATACAATCTATTGACACGTATTTGTCAAAGTTTTGAAAATAATTTTATTACTTATTGAGATTTTTTGTAAAATAACTCCACTAGTTTTGTTAAGATTATGACTACAAAGATCGAACACACAGAAAAATTTCGTCGACCCGGTGGGATTTAAACCCACGTCCATGCTGCACCGTAGCATTGCTCTTTAGCAACTGAGCTACGGGTCCAGTTACCGAGTTGTTGAATTTCTCCTGTGTTTTTTGTTATATGTAGATCTTTATAATGACTTTCGGCATTCGTCGCCACTAGTGATATCTAGTGAGAGATTTTTGAACAAACCTTCTCACCGCAGCCTATACATATACCTTTACAGGTGTAACAACTGACGCAGATGTCGCTTTTCGATCAAACGTATTTATTGAGATTTTTTAGCGAAATAACTCCACTAGTTTCTAGATATAGGTAATTCCGAATTAAGACTTTTTTCAGAGTTACAATCGGTAGTATAGAGATTCAATCCTCTTGGTCTATGGTCTTGGTCTATGGTAGGACGTTGCTACAAATTAACGTCGTCCTAATTTTGTCAATCAAGTTAAATTTTAAAGAGTACAGACCCCTTTTAAAACGACTGAGTCTTACCTGTTTTCATTGCCTCCAAACTTGCAATCTGATTATCTACTTCAGCGCTGAAGGTAGGACTCAGCTTGCCAATGCAATAGTGTGAGCATTCATACTCGGTGTCGAATTTATTGAGTGTGGTGCAGCCGCGCCATAATTCGATTTCACAGCGGGAGCCAGGTTTGTAGTACGTGAAGACAGGAATTGGGGGCATTGCACAGTCTGATGTGTTGAGTTGAGAGCTGCAATACTGGCTTGGTGCTAAAAACAATTAAGAAAGGTTTTAAAATTAAGAAAAATTAAGAGACATTTAAAAATATCGTAAGGTTCTCCGTTGTTGCTCCGTACGATTCCAGTCAGTCTTGCCAGATGGTTGCATTTCTTGTATTTTTCGTAATTTTTCACCATCTTGCGTAATATAATGGCAATTTTAATGACTTTTCCGGACGTTTTTTTTTATTTTTTTTTTGTTCTTAGGATTTAGGCGTATGTAATATGAATATCTTTTACAGTTAGAATTTTTAATTGAAAAAAGAAATTTGTGAAATGTAACTTTTGTAGCAAAAATCTAACTTTTCAAGTAACGAATTGTAATTTTCGACACAATTTTTTTTTATTCTCTATATTTTGTTTACACTCCATGACTACAAACGCCTTTTTTTAAATAAATTTTAACCCGTTTTTAGTGTACGTAAAGGTTCCATCATACAACCTCTTTGTATATTCATATTTAGACGAAAGCTAAAAATCATTATAATATCATAAAAATATTTTATAAAGATTTATGGATTCGTTGCAAGACTTTTTTTAAATTGGTTTAAAGCCAATTTAAGCAATCAGGCACAGGCAGTATAGCGTCTTAATTTATATTTTAATTAGCAAAAATATGACGTTCTTTTTTGAAACTCATTATAGTTCTGTCCGCAGTGTAGGAAACTTTCCAAGTAGACATAGAAATGAGACTCTAGTGCCTGTTATAAATTGTATTATAAGATTTTTCACTATAAATCCAAACAAAACAAAACACGTCTGTTCTAGTCAAAGATGCTTTTCGTAATGGCGGCCGCCTGTCACCGTTCCGTTGATATCGATGATGATGTTACTATCTTATACTTATTTCGATGAAACTAATTCTTATTGACGCAAAGTAAGTTTAAAAATAAAATAATATAATGTCACGATACGCTAACAACAGGAATAAAATACTCATTAAAGTTCTGTGCATAGAACTTTAACGAAAATTTTCAGTTCAGTGGCGAGTACCATAGACAATAGAATTTTGATTTAGAACTAAAAAGAGCGCCTTTGTGATATGGTTTATGAAATTATAATTGACAGATTAAAGTACGGGAGTAGAAAAAATATATTACTTTTAAATAACACCAATTTTTAACTGGTAGAAAATCTTTGATTTAAAACGTAAACAGACGCTGCACCACTATCTCACCTGATTTAAGTTAAAGCGTGACCGATAAGAATACGCGTTTGTCTAAAATATGGAACAAACAATCCAGTGAAAATGGTTTCAAGCGACTTACTACCAAAGCCGTTGATACAAAAAGCGCACAGTTGTAAAGTTACAGTCTTGCTAATTACATATTAGGTTAACATGTTTTGACTGGATACAATTATCTAATGATTTCTCAGGCATCTGTGAACCGATTTTGATGATTCTTACCTGATTCGTACCCTGAGTATTAGTATTTAATTTATATCAAAATAATAGAAATGGCAAAAGAAATAAAATAATTCACGACGCATTTTTTTTAAATTACCGCCAAACCCTTTCTCTACTTGGTACCTTGATCGCGTTTGCAGTTTCGACGTCACAATTGTTTTTTCGTCAAACGCTACTTCATTGGGTGAAATTTGTGAAAATAAACTTTATAGCTTCTTTATAGTGGGTATTTGTAGACAGGTAAGTACTGTACTTGCCGTGGTTTTAATAATTTCTGTGTCAGTATGAAAATATTATTCATTTTTTGGGCACTCACAACAAAAGATAGCCCGTTTAGCCAAGTGTAATGTTTGGTCATGTTTCGTACCCGTTGTCTATAGCATAGTTTAATCTTTTTCTGCATTAATTAATATTGTAACGGCAAAAGATAATTAGCAACAACGTGAAGGCAGCATCAGGAAGAAAAAATAACAACTTTATTATATTTATTTATTCTGTAGGCAGGACAAGAAAATTGCACGCGTGATATTCTATCTATTCTCGGGTTTGGCGGCAAACCGCGCCGCTAGAGCGAGGGTTCTTCTCTGCTTCTCTAGATGGCGCTACTATGCGCGGAGCACCAAGATGGGAGGTTTCGTGGATTTCTGCTAGGCATAATTAGGACGTAAATTTATGTCGTCCTAATTATGCCGACGCGGTGGCGTTCTAATCAAGCTAAATTTTATGGAGCAATAGTTTGTTTATTCCATAATGGTCAAAAACCTGCCCGTTCATTCTATTAAGTTTGAATAGCCCTAAATTGTTCTTTCACGGAAACATAGATGTCGGTAGTGTATGCAATTCTTTTTGCCGTATTCATTAGAAAGGATTGTACGTGACCTATGTCAGTAAAAAAATACATAAGCAAATTACATTTGAAATCGTCATATGGATTAAACTCTACTGCTCATTAGTAAGGCCGATTCCCATGAAAAGAATGAGCTAGAAACTTTAGGGTTTCTAAATAAACATTTATACACATTTATTTTACTATATTTTTAAATATAGTCAAGTCCTAATAGACTACCTGCAATAACTAAATGGGTCACTACCGCGGATTTTTGTAGTCAAAGTACAATAAAATTACCTTTATTATAATATTTTTGTTTCACTATAGTTTTAAACCTCATGAATGGTACATTTTTAATATCAACCGAAATCTTATTACAGAAGCGTATTGCATTGCCCCTGATTCTGTGACTTGGTGAAGACGGCTATTAAGAACAGCCAAATTAATTTTGTTCCTTGTATTAATTTTATATTTGTTATATATGTATATTTACTATTATATTTTGAGTTCCAAATTATACATTTGGAAGATGAGAAATCGTCACTTGTTTCATTTAATAATAATAATAATAATAATAATAATAATGATAACGCACACTCTCAACATAGCCCCGCAGTAGGGAAACCCTGTGTCGCGGGTGCCATGGACACACACATAGGCAACCACAAATAACATCCAAACACACGAGAGAAATAAATGTAGGCCATACAAATATTTCTCCCGGCCCGGGAATCGAACCTGGGACCTCTGCGTAGCAGTCCGGCATGGTAACCGTTCGGCTACGGAGGCAGTTAATTAATTTAGCTAGATAGTTGGTGGCCACGGGCATTACAATTGGAGTTTGATTTTGAATAGACATGTCAGTCCTCCACCACGATTTCGGAAGCATTTGGTCCACATGACGTCGCACCATCCCCCGCCAATTGTTATATATAATGTTTATTTAGAATTCGAGATTATACATTTGAAGATGAGAAATCAATTAATTTATCATCATTATTAATTTAGCTAGACAGTATCGCCATGATTATTAGAATTGGAGTTTGAATTTGAATGGGTATGTCAATATTCATTTCACAAAAAAATTACATTTTCATAAATGTACTATGAAGTGTAAGAATGTTAATTTCTTTAAATTTCTCCCTCAATGATACTCTTGGGCTCAGACTGTAAAAGACTCTAACCGCATGTTTCTGTAAGATCTATTTATTTTGCACCACAAAACAACAGTCCATTTATTTGTTTTCGTTCCTTGTATTAATTTATGAAGTCTTAAGACAGACAGGGTTACAACTCTGCCGTCTTAACTTAATTTTCAAGATATTGGCATCTAAAGTCCTTCTTCTTTGAAAAATGTCAATTACGCTGATTTTAATGAGAAGTACAGTACCTCAGCTCCAATTAATATTTTTCCTGTATTGATACAGTTCATTTTGCTCGGGTCGAGAGGCAGGAAAAAAAAGGACCCCGGATTTCAGCATTTATCTTTTTCAAACGAAATTAAAACCATTTGATAAATGTATAACGTGCACTATTTAGTTCATAGTTGATATTAAAAAATCATTGGTATGTATAAAGTAATAAGTTTGTGTTTTTTTCTACGGTGAAAATTTTTACGAATCGTATTTTCACACCGTATATCCAAAATTTTACTATATATTTTTTCTAAAGTGATCGATTCAACACTTTCACTTTATGCGGACGCAATCTCAACCAAAGCCGTTTGAGATTGTGTCGACTTTTAACAATAAAACTGAAACTAAATAAGATATATAAAAAATACCTTAATAAATCAATTTCGCTAAAAATGTCGATCACGTTGTTTAAGACGAGGACCGCGGAACTATTTAAATTATGTGTTATCCACGCTTGCGTCAGCCACACCTCAATATTTAATAAAAACAATTTTTATACGTATTTTATACGCGCCGTAAACGCGCGTCATCTGCGCGTATAATTTCTGCGCCCTGCGCCATCGCGCTAATGCATAGCGAATTTTGATAAAAGATAGTTTTAATTTAAGTTTTGTTTGTTAATTTCAGTTTTTTTTAAACGAAGCAACTACATGGAATTCTAAGTGTAATCTCCAAAGATTATAGTATAAGCTTCTTGCTTGCAACGCGATGTTTGCGCGAGTTTGAACCGATTCACTCCAGCGCCTAGCGTCACGGCGCTATAAACGCGTCGTCGCGTTTACAATACGTCGTGTGCATAGACTGTTAGAATTATGTAACTCACCTGCATTTATAAAATTATTTCCACAGAGAAAATTAAAAACTAAGCAGAAAGGTAATAAGTTATTTTTCAACATTGTTCTAACATTAATTGACGGTTACAAGGTTTAGTTCGTAATTAAGTGCCATTTAGAGAATTTTATTTCGTAATATGAATTTTATTGTAACAATTAGTAATTAAAGTGTAATTACAGATTATGTAGTTAGAGGTAATTATGCATAAACTATACCTACGAAAGGTTTCTCAGACTTATTTCACTTTATTTAAGGATTTTTTTCCAATCCAAAAGATGTCACCCTCTAGATAGCTCTTTAATTACTGTCTGCATCAATTCCAACTTGTACAACAAAATCAGCTTCCCAGGTTTTTGAGGAAAACAAGATGTATCACACATCAAGCGCAGATAAATTGTAGTCTGGGCTATGAATATTCTCCCCATTTTCTGCTCTGTTCTGTACACACACTTTATCACCACTAACGATGTCTATTACTTGTACAATTGGGAGACGGGACCACTGTTATGTAGATATTATGTATGAGAAACGATTTAAAGAATCTGGTGCATTAGGATCGGACCAGTTGCTCTGCCCAAATCGACATGTCAAGGAATCCGAGGGAGTTAGATTTGCAATGTTTTGTACCAAACGCCTGTACTTCGCAAACTTTTAAAATTTATATGAATCAAAAATTATTTCGATAGTAGTAGGCCAGCTATCAAAATAAGAATAAAAAAGGCAATAACTATATTAGCAATCATTGGAATGTCGTAACATGCACAATTCAGACATGTTCAGCAAAATTTAACCTTCATTCACAGTCCATCGATAAAACTGTCGATAACAACTACATGACTATTTACAATTTTACGAAAACCCGCAACCCTGCAAATGTCATTTTACTCCGTCTTCAAAAGAGACAGGTTGGTAAGCACTCCGGTAACCTACAACCAAATTTGCCCATTTTTGGTTTTTTAAATGCCGCAACTTGCCGAAAAATGTGCGCTTAGGTCATGTTCACATCCCGGTTTTTTGCGTAAAATCTGTAAAATAAAATCACTCTGTGCGGAGGAAGGCAACTTGTAACACATTTTTTTAAATTGCCCTAATATATCTGTCCCGCTTTATAATTTACTTTCCCAAAAAATTCCCCCACCCCAATGACATAAACAACCTTTTCATTTTAGTGTTTTTCCCCCCATATTTCTACCCCATGTAAATTCATTAAGTTAAATAAAATATACATTACATTATGTATGTTACGTGTTTGTGATGTCTTTTGTTTTAGATTCTCACCTGAATATTTCCGCGGATCAATCTTAGAAGATGGAAAAAATAAAGATAAACCCATTAACACCGATTAATGTCCATATGACATGTTATATTGGCATTTAGAAATCAGACGTTATATGTATATGGTGCATTTCGACGATAAAAACAAACATGGTATTGTCTTTGTTTAACTACTGCTTGTCATCGTAACTTAAAAGAGATAATAGCATTACGTTGGTATATGCCAAACATGGGAATCGAAAATACGTAACGTCGTCTTAAATGCCAACTGTGTGAATTTCGTTTAGAGGATGGAAAAAAATAAAGGTAATGAGCTGCCCTAACTACAGAATGAACGTGTATATTTAAACAAAAATTGAACGCTACAAATGGCGGTTTTCTTTAGTACTGACGAACCATAATCTGTCGATAAGTCGTTGTCGACTTGCAAATGTATGGCCCGAATGTTGAAACTGTTTTTTTTTTGTTTCTTTAATTTACTGTAATCAAAGCATGATTATCCACAAAACTATCCACTCGTTTCCGATTTTTTCATACGTATGTATAATTTTGTTTTCAGGAACTGAGAATGCCCAGTAAATGAGTATTGTTGAATCTAAATTAAATATGAAAGTATTTACCAATAAACCTAATGAAAGCATTTGCTTTATCGTTTAATCTAGTTACATTCAAAGTTCGGTTAAAATTTGACTCTTCAAAATGAAACCAATAAATGAAGATGGTCTTTGATTCAATGTTTATATTCATTAGTAGATGAACTTGAAATAGTAAAAACCGTTAAAAACAGTGAATATAACCTAACCTCAGTACAGAGTACTAAAAAAACTGACCTCAAAATTCATTCTTCCCCTAGTTTACCATTGTTAGAGGTCAAAAATTTTCTTCAAATTTAAATAGGACTTATGGGGTACCCTCTTTCCAACAAAAAGGAATCATCAAAATAGGTTCACAAATGGCGGAGTTATCGCGTAACCTACATACAAAAAAAACACACAGTCGAATTGAGAACCTCCTCCTTTTTAAAAGTCGGTTAAAAATTCAACGTCTTGTCTCTTCGTTTATTATGATTTATTATATAAGCCGACAATTCAAATTATGAAATACTGTCCTTAGAGAATCCAACAAACAGAATGCATAGCGCCCGATTATAATTATTCACTCAAATACTTCATAATAATATACTCTTTAAATCCAAAATAAATAGACGGATTATAAATAGTCCAGTAGAGCTCCTTGTGAAAGAGTTCGTCCAGGGAAGTACTGCCACCGTACCTATTTCTGCCGCCAAGCAGTAATGTAAGTATTACTGCGTTCCTGTTTTGAAGGGTGCTGGTGAAATTACAGGCACATAGGACTTGTCAACTTACCCAGGGTAACAGGCGCAGTGGCAGTGCTCCTAAGATTTTTGCAATTTAACGCGTTGAGTGCCACTGCAACTGTTATGGATAGGCGTGTCGCTTACCACCAGGTGCACGACCTGTTCGTCCCATCACTTGGTATTATAAAAAAAACGCAGGTATAATATGTATACTCGAAGAGTTTTTGTACTACTTTATCTAATGTACTGTTTTTCTATACTGCTTTAAGTGTGTTTTCTCTTATTATTACACACGGAATTTCGAAACTAAATGCTATCTATCAAAAGAAATTAAAAAAATATTAATATAATAGAATGACAGTAGCAAGTGATGATCATTTTCAACTTACTGCCCGTAAGCATCGGTGGTTCAGTGGTAGAATGCTCGCCTGCCACGCGGGCGGCCCGGGTTCGATTCCCGGCCGATGCATCACCTGACTTTTTTTTTTTAGGATTTTTAAATCTTTGCAATTTTTAAAGTCGTCTCAATTCGACTGTATTTTTTTGTAGATAATACTCGTGTTACCGGTGGCTCCGGGTTCGTGAACCGATTTTGATGATTTTTTGTTGGCGAATGCTCAGGATTGGTCCTATTGAAATTTGAAGAATATTATAACCCCTAGAGGGATGGCAAACTAGGGGATGAATCCGGTTCTGCGCATTTTCGGGTAACCGATTTCAATAAAACTTGGCAAATAGATGCCTGTAATTAATAATTGCACGAAGTTTTGGGGTAAAGGGGTATAGGGTAGGTATTTTATTATTCTTTTTTAAAATCGTTTAAAAAAAATTCTATTCCAGATTGGAAGATTGCTAATAGAACTGATGCTGTGGTATGATATTCTGCATCACATATCAAAAACATTTCATACATTTCAAACATTTCATATGCCATTTCATATATGACTGATAATGCCTATAATACCATAGAAAACAAATTGGGTTCTTCGGATATTGATTTATTTGCCTCTAGGATTAATAAGAAGTGCAATCTTTACACATTTTGCAATCTTGGCACTGAGACCCGGAAGCATTTGCTATAAATGCTTTCACTATGAACTGGAATAACTTACGGTTTTATGCATTTTCACCAGTAGCAGTGATATTTAAAGTTTTACGAAAAATGATTACTTATAAAGCTATTGGAATGTTGTAGTTCCGTTGTGGAAAACACAACCATGGTACCCATTATTTATGCAACTATTATGTTCAGATCTTGTAACAATTACACCCTCTGATAATGCATTATTGTGTGATCATAACAGCTCCCAGATGCAGCGATCAGTCACACTGATAGCAGGGAAATTATCAGGACTGCATTACTTAAAAGGCAAATACCCCTAAATTCTATTGACATCATGTGCGCTTCATTATCGCAGAACTCGTACAGACAATATAATTCTGCTTTGAAGTGATAGTCCTATTATTGTAATATGAATAGTATTAGTATATACGAGGCGTCAAGCCCAGAGGTGATTTCCTTTTTAACAAATTGCTTCCACGAAGGAGCTCAATTTGGCATTCTAAATACTTGTCGTTCCGCTCTGGCGCTTTTATTAGGAAGTCAAATTAGTAATGATAATTCGATTAAAAGATTATTCAAAGGTTTTTTTTAGATTAAGACCTCCGCTGCCAAAATATGCAGTCACATGGGACTCAAATATTGTGCTTGATTTTTTGGAAAATCTATACCCCAATGATTCTATTCCCTTAGAACATCTAACTATAAAGATTGTCACATTAATAGCCTTGGTGACAGCTCATTGTGTACAAACCATTTAAAATAACCTCAAGGCCTGGTGCCTTGTAACCATGCCTTAGTATTCCTTATTTTCGACAACGAAAGACCATATGTCCAGCTGACGCATTATTGTTTTATTTATGAACAACGCAAGGGTTAAGATCTAACTGTGACACTTTGTTTATCAGCTTTCGAGCTCCCAACAAAGCAGTCACCAGCCAAACGACCGACCATGCACTTCGTATAATTATGATAGAACTTCACAACAGGTAAGTTCGTTTCGTCATTAATTAAAAGTCTTGAGTTTGGCTGTTTAGCCTTTTTGGTCTTACTTTGTATAGCATACTGCCAGACGTAATTACACAACACAAGTAGCCTATGCGTCAGTTTTACTCAGAGGGCCTACAACTCCCTACGCTTTTTGTACAATAATGTGTCTAGATATATGTCTGTGTGTTCAGGGCTCTGTTTGGGCTTCCTTGCTACTGCAGCGCATCGGGCATCTTTGCGGATGCTAGTGTCGCACAAATGCGAAAAAAGGTGGCATCCTGCCTGCGCAGAGTGCGTCCGCTTAGCAGGTATCATGTACTCACTTTAGCAGGTGTCATGTAGTCATTTCATTCACTCATACATTCATTATTTTAATTACTTTATTTTTATTGTTACTTTTGTACTATCAGTAGAATAGATAGTTTGTAGTATGTAAGTGTACTAAAAAAATGGATTATAAATTTTCTGCAACATATATAGCATCTCGTTCTGCATTTATGCACGAGTGAAAAGCAATAACGACAGCTTTGATGACACAAGCACGTTTTCGTCCATAAACCAAGTAAATGAAACGTCGCGGGTCGCGGACTTTAATTAAGTTTTTTCAAGGTAACGACTCCACGACTTACGGTTTAATTAATTTCATTAAATCATCAATCTGTACTTTTATTAGGCAATCAGTGAATTATAGCATTCCGAATGAATATCACCCGTTGCCTTAGGGTAGTGAGTTCAGTTTAAGCCTAACACTCAGTAACATTACATATTGTATTTGGATAACCATTTTAAGTTAGAAAATTAAGCACAAAATGGACTTTGTTCCTTTGTGTTTTTTTGTAAATATTTTTATCCTATTCAAGTTTAGCATTACTAGTAAGTGCACATTTAGTTTTTTTTTTGGTACTTGATTTTCACTATTTACGAATTGTAAGGGTAAATGTATACAACGTCGTCATACTATTAAAACCTTCTAGGTCCAATAAAGGCCCTGTACCTTCGTTCTCCGGCCGACATACGTACACAACAATTACTGTCAAATAAGTAATACCTGACGAAATTAAAACACGCATGATGCGACTGAAGCTTCATACTTGATATTATCTTTTCAATTTGGTCGAGTATTACAAATTTGACAGTAAATTGTTTCGGACGGACGTTGGGTGGTGAACGAGAGTTGAGCCCTGGAGAGGGAATAATAACCTTTAAAAAAAAAAACGATTTGGTACCTACATACATAAAACGTAAGTTATTGAAATTTATCAATAGATGTCTCTGTAATCACATTTAATGGCTATGGAGAGGAATTCCCTGCCTGTAGACTTGTTCCCTGAACTTGGCCTTTTCTTGGTGAGAGTGAATAGGCGTTATTTAGGGATGTAAGGTCCATTGTCGACGTCATTGTCATTTTCCATTTATTAGTCAATATTTATGTTTATTAATGGTAAGCGACACCCCTGAGTCTCTCAGAGCTTTGATCGCAAAGATCTGAGAGGTATCGCCATTGCATACAGCACTCTGAGACATAAATTGACAAGTCCCATGTGACTGTAATTTTACCAGCGCTTGTGCCTTTCAAAATCGGAACGCAATAAAGCTCATACAATTGCAGTTTGGCGGTAGAAATAGGTATGGTGGCAGTATTTCCTTGGACAAACTCTTTCACAAGGAGATCTACTGCTTCTAATAGGTACTACTTGACTATTATTATATTTATCATAATCGTCATCTTTTGGGTGTTCTTACGGTCTTTGGCTGGCCTTTATTCAAGTCCTTTCTGCCATTTTGGTGAACCATCGGACTGATTTTATTGTTCAGGATATTTAAATTATTTTTTCATTACAGTACCAATGGACTTATGTTTTTACAAACTGAACACGTCAGACTGCGAGCTGCCTCCAACTCCTGTCTTCACGTACTACAAGCCTGGTTCTCGCTGTGAGATAGAGCTCTGGCGCGGTTGTCCCACTTATAACAAGTTTGACAACGAATTCGAGTGTTCCCACGCATGCATTGGCAGGTTGAACCCTAGCTTCAGTGCTGAAAATAACGATATCGAAGATAAAGTAAATGATGAACGTAAGAACTCTTCTTATGTACCTACATGGTTCCTATCCTGCCGCCGTTAGTTGAAAGGGCGCATTTGATAAAAAAAAAACTAAAAACTGAGAAAATAATGTAAATTTAAAAATATCTACTTTTGTCTAGCGGTGACTTCATAACTTATCCACCTAGGAGAAATAAAAATAGTGACAGATCAGCCTTTTTTGTAAAGCCTTGATCACGGCAGTATACATAATATTTATGACATATATGACCTTTGAACTAACGGCGGTAGTATTAGACACATTTTTAGCAGACTTATGTATGCCTGCTCTAAATTTCTCCACTTCTTTATTTCTATTTTGCTGACTTCCAATTATATACCTATTTTATTTAGGTAATACGTGTAAGAACAGGTTAATAGTTACCATGAAATTATTTCTTCGTATTAAATGGGGTTGATTATGTTACAGAATGTAAGGTGCCTATCAATCTGGATGACTGCGGCATGGCAGAAGAAGAAGTTTACACTTTCAACAATGATGTTGGCAACTGCTTAGCGGTTATGTGGAGAGGATGCGAGACGGAGAACAAGTACGATGATAAAGATTTATGTAAAGAAGCGTGTAAACACTTGATAAAAGACGACGAACAAGAGTCGACAGAAAATGAAACAGAAAAAGATAAATCTGGAGACGAAACCAAAACTGGAGATGGAGGTGATGATAAAAAGAGTAGTGAAAAAGAGGCCACTGAAGCAGAAGGTACAGACAAAAAGAGTGAGGAGGATGAGAAAAAAGACGAGGAAGCCGATGAGCATAAAGATGATGAAGATGAAGGTCCTACTGACGAAACTGCGAGCGTGAGGAGATCCAGAGGTAATCAAACGTTAAGCCAAAGTTAAATACAACCAATGTTTAGACTTAATTTTAAATGTATGGTGGGGCTCTAGTTTCGAATATCTTATTAATGATAATGTTAGTTGTTTCGTTAGTATTACAGATAATCTGTTTACGCACGAAACACTATTTATTATCTTCTCCAATACTTGTTATTTATGAATAATATAATTTTATACTGTTCACTATTATTTTTTGTACCATGTTAATACCTACTGTAGTATTTTATGGAGTTATCCATTACATGAGTCATACATAAAAGTAATGAAAACACAAAGCTTTTTTACAAAAGAATTGTCGCTCTATTAATAAATAATTGAACCCAATCCACAAACTAAGTATAGTTATTGTTGAATCAAAACTTAATTACCAAATGACTAATACACCATTGACTGACAAATAAATGGATGACGGGTCTAATACAAAAACAACGAAAAAAATGTCCCAAGTCAACCTATTTAAACGTAGTGACATGTAAAGGAATATGAAAAAGCTAAAACGTTGAATTTAAATTGTAATGTCATCGCAGTACTGTCTAATTTTGCTTGCTTCGCTGTCAGTCGAACAAACGAAGACTAAAGCGTGAATGACGCTCTTTGTACGATTTTAACGCCCTATAAGTTCGGACACTTTTTAGCGCGGACCTGACGCCCATATAATTGTAAGTCAATGTAATACACAATAAATTTGTATAATACGCACGTAGACACCAATATTTATTATCAACTTCTAGGAACATAGAGTTACATACTTGTCATCACGGTTGACTCCCACCGTTCTAGGCAGCGACCTTGGACCTCCACCTGCTACGCTCCTGACGAACCTCATTCGCCTCCCCATTTCCCATCAGTCTTCATATCGTTACCTCCAATGAACACTACGACAAGTTAATTTTTGACCCTGTTCTGTTCTTCATTTTTTTTTCACAAAATTCGTTTTTTTTGGGGTTCAAATTTTGTTTTATGTGTTTGTTTCTTTTTTCACAACATTCAGGGAGCATAATATTAGTAAATAAATATGGCTGTTTCCAAAAATAACAGAAAATGAACAAAAAATAAAGTTGGTCAATGTTCATTGGAGGTATCGACCCATTTGTTCTTGAGACTTATAATCCGGTTTTTTTCAAGAACACCCCAATCTGATTGAAATATTTACAAGGTCAAGAGCCGGTCAAGCTTGACACTTAAGATTTAAATCCAACTCTATGCCGCTTACGATAAGGACGGTCCAAAGTTCAAAGTGTTAAGCTTGACGTGCTCTTGACTGTACACCGAGGTCTATCTCTGAACCACGCCTACATTATTTTTTCTACATGACCAAAATATCGAAGCATCCTCCTCTCTACCCTGGGCCCTGATTTTAGTTCAAATCGTAGTCGATCCGCTCGGGTAGCCCATCCGTAATATTATACGCCTTGACTCGGAAAAGACACAGTGTCCGATCGGGAGAGGCAATCAAAATCAAACTGCCGGTTTATTATTCGTCTTTCATACCATAACGCTCTCCTTACTACACTGTTCGGCATTCTATCTTTTTTTTAATTTTTATAAATATAAGAAAAAGTGTATTTCAGGTTCTATACAAAAAGGAACCTTAACAAGATCTTGATTACAAAATCACAAACGATTATCAAAAAGTACAGTGAAAGAGATAAAATTAATAAAATTGTATACGTGCAAAAACTCTACAAAAAGTCAATATGGTAGGTACTTCGATTTTCGTAATGCCAATGGGATGATTGTAACGTACTAGAATATAATTCATAGTGTATAGATAATAAATACACGTATGTATAGCTTAGTCTTAGTGAAATGAGAATGCAGAAGGCTTGGTCCACATAATTTGTTGTAAGAGATGATAAAAGAGGAAAAAAAGTCTGTAACAAATGACAAAAATGCACAATTATTATAAAGCACTCCATACAAAACGAAATAACATAAATACACAATACTCACCCCAAAAAGGCCTAAGTTGTAAAAGCATGGAGTATCAATTTAATGCACATTAACTTTAGTACATATTTATACTGTAGATGTCGACACTTGGATAAAATAAAATAACATTGAATCTTGAAAATTTAAGGTATATATTCATATAGGGTATATATTAAGGTACTTATTCATACTAAATACGAAGCACAAAATAAATAATCTCAGTACAGAGTACTAAAAAAACCGACCTCAAAAGTACGTGGAATTACGTCTATTTGCTAAGTTTTATTGAAATATCCCCTAGTTCGCCACTATACAGGACTTGACACTGGAGATAATAAAAATCGGTTCTCACTACACAAAGCATATTGAGAGAAAAACGCCTTGAGTTGGAGAAATAGCAAAATCAAACCATTAAAGCAATTGCTCCTAAATTAATGTTAGGCGCTATTTATGAAAATGAATCTTCATGCTTGAACAGCCACCCTTCGAGGTGGGTGATTTTCTTAAAAATGAAATGGGACCACTATGGAAGTACCCCCTTTCCAACAAAAAAAGAATCATGAAAATCGGTTCACAAATACCGGAGTTATCGCGTAACATACATACAAAAATACGAACATACAGTCGAATTGAGAACCTCCTCCTTTCGTCGGTTAAAAAAAGAAAAGCGACATTATTTAAAAAAGCATTTAAGAATGTTCAATTAAACAGTAAACTGTCGTTGAACACCATAACAAAATGGAAGGTTTGTGAATGGTAAGCATACTTTTTAATATTTGTTAGTTTGCAATAAACTGTCTAGATGACATTTCTTTGAAATTATTCTCGAAACTTAGCAACGTTTTAGCATTGAAATAATATGCTGAGTACTCATTGGGTCTGATGATTGGCTGTACCAAATGATTTCAGCGTTAGAGTATGAAAAAAATTGTGATTTTTTTGGCAATTTTCTTTCACATTTATACAGAAAGATTTGTTTTCGTTTTTAGGGATAACAAGTTTTCTAACTCATCTTTCCTAAGAACGAGAACAATTCTATTTATATATACAGGGTGTCCGGTAAAGAATGGATAAGCCTAATGCCTTATAGTAGAGCTTATGAACGTTCAAAAAAATATATGAACAAAAATATGTCCCATGTAGTACCTAAGATATATTTTTTTTCTTTAAATAATTATTTTCACCTTATTTTACGTTTTTGTACACCACGACTACAAGTTAATCAATTCCTTCGGTTTTTTGGTGTCATAAATTCTACATTAACTGTGCTAATAGATAGTGTAGCATAAACAGGGTATGAGCTACGCTGGACCGCGTCTGGGCCTCGAATCAGACGACATATTTTGCGTCTACAAAAAGAGCGTTTATGGTGAATCAAAAATAGGGAAAAATAAGTCGCACAACACATATAAAAAAGAAAAACAAAGATATACCACTACAGGATTTAGAAAATGAACAAACTACGACACATCACATATAAAAAAGTAAACAAAAATATACTACTGTCGGAATTAGTACAAGCTACGAATTATATAAAGAGGGGAAAACCTAAGGATTTTGCCACTGCACTCTTTGTTCCACAACACCGCTGAATTAAAAGAGTAGACAGAAATAATCATTTAACGTCAACAGCAATTTTGACAAGATACGCTTCACGGTAATAAATTGTCCGGGCGAAAAGAGGACTATGTACTAACGGTCCTAAGCACCTGGTACTTCAAAATGCATTTTAATGCAATGCATATTAATAGAATAGAATAGAATAGAATAGAATACTTTATTTCAGGCATATACCCATATAATTTGTTAGTAACATTTTCACTTAGAATAGGTTAGTATACAGAACACAACAAACACAACACAATATTTACTTAATATATATAAAAACAGATTTGATTTGCCCAACCCAATATTTTTTTTTAATGATCTGCCATTCTTTGTTAAGGACCATTGCGAAATAGTGTTGTTTGCTGATGACACATCCTTCATTTTTAAAACAGACAGACATGACATTAGAGGGGGTCTCTCTCTCATCTTAGCGTTGTCCCGGTTGCGTCCTCAGCAGTGTTGCTGCGGAGCCCGGGGTCCGCTCTCCTACTTTTTCTCCTCCACTTTGCACAGTCTTCGGCATCCTTAGTGGTGAGACCATTGGCACGCATGACATTAACTATGACCATATTCATGATACCCTCTCTAAGGTAGTTTATTGGTTTAATGCTAACAATTTATTGCTTAATGCCAAGAAGACAAAATGTGTTAAATTTGAATTACCTAACGTAAAATCGACCAGTCCAAGCATAGAAATAAACGGAGAAAAGTTAGACTTTGTTAATAAAGCAGTCTTCTTGGGAGTGACCTTAGATAGTAAACTTCAATTGTTTCCACATATATCGTCCCTGGCAAGCAGATTAAGCTCCGCTGCATACGTGAGCTTACCGATGTTAGTTCTGCTAGACTAGTTTACTTTAGTTATTTCCATAGTATAATGTCCTACTGGATTCTCATGTGGGGTAAAGCGGCAGATATTCAAACCATATTTGTATTGCAAAAACGAGCGATTCGTTCTGTGGATCGGCCGCCTGGGGCCAATTTTATGGCCTCCGCGTTCACCGGACCTAAATCCACTGGATTTTTTATTGGGGCTGCCTTAAGGAAATTGTGTATAGTAAGCCGATCAGGTCCTTGGAAGACTTACGTAGCCGTGCCAGTGCAGCCGCTGCACCAATTAGTGAACGACGATATACGCGGCTACTCAAAAGGGCTTTTCTCCGAAGATGTAGAGACTGCATCAGAGTCGATGACAAACAGTTTGAACATTTGCTGTAACCAAATTGTAAATAGAGTTGTATTTATATCTAATATTGTTTTTTTTATTAAACCTCAATGGTCAAGCTCAATTCAGGACAAAAAATGGTCCAATTTTGAAAACTTAGTTTTTAATCAAATTTACTCCTTTTGCACATTAATAGCAATAATTTTCTATTTATATTAGATACAATAATGAATTATACCATTTTGAAATCTACTTTAAACACACATTACTTTAGAATAGTTGGCCACTCAGGTTATAATATTTTTTTTATATCAAAGATGCTTAAACTTTGTTAAAAAAAATTTGCACTGAAAAATAAAATAAAACTTTTTTAAAATTTAAGTGCCATAGTTAGTCAAACTATTTACTGCCTATCTGTTAGCACAGTTAATGTAGAATATTATGACACCAAAAAACCGAAGGAATTAATTAACTTGTGGTCGTGGTGTAAAAAAACGTAAAATAATTAAATTCAAAGAAAATTATTCTAGTATCTTCGGTACTACATGGGATATATTTTTCTTCATATTTTTTTTGAACGGTCATAAGTTCTGCTATAAGGCATTTCAGGCTTATCCATTCTTTACCGGACACCCTATATAATATATCCATTTGTTGTGTTTAAAAAAATTCTGATTGTAGGACGAATGATTTATCATTGTGTATTCAATCGAGTCCAATTTTTTATGCACTTTAGTGTCAGCTTACAACTTACTACAAAAAAATAGTGCTGATAAAGTGATAAATATAAATTTAACGAGAAAAATGTTGATTTCGAAAATATGAATTATAGCCATTTATTCGAAAGTATAAACCACACAGTAATGCCGCACTACATTATAATAAAATTATGTAATATGTAGTTAAACCAAAAAGCTTTGAATTATTTTGTTTTTTACACTGCCATCTCTCGACAACTATAAGTACTAGTACGATGAATAGCCGCCATGCTTAAACCATTTCTGCTTCTGTTATCAAGTTTATTAGTTAGCGCATAGATGGCACTGACCTTAAAAATAAAATCAAAATACGCGTTCTTATATCTCATTGTTATTTACTTATTTATTTTAATAACAACCTTAAAAGCGATTTCTACAAAATACTGCTCAATAAAATATGTTTAAATAATAGTTTCATTTTGTCATTGACAGAACTGTTAATTTTTATTTGCCAGGTTGAGATCTAAGTTTTAATTTCCTTGTTATTTTGGTGTTTTTATGCTTTAAGAAGGGTTTGGACTTGCGACTCCGTCTTCTGCACAAGGCGGGCACATTGCTTTTTTCTTCGATGGTTTTTTCTCTCGGGATAAACAGCCGCTAAATATAGACAAAATAACCTGAAAACAAAATGGAAGGTAGTATAAGAAGGCGTATTATGTACTTAAATAATTAACAAACAAATAGATTTCAATCGTTTTGTAGGAACAAGAGAATGAATTAATGTTTCTCAAGTTTTGAATATAAAAATTGTCTTAAAAAAACATTGAACGAGATTCATTAATAGTAAATGTGTAATATAGTTTTGACCAACAATATCTATGTTCTTTTGACAAAATATTTTATTTTAATATTTTAATAAGAAAGTATATCCCAAATGTAGGGTTTATTCTACATTCACTGATATAATGATAATTGATAAGAATGATGATAATCTTTAATATTTGATCGGTATATTGATAATATGATAAGGTGATAGACGGAGGTAATTAAAACGACTAACTCCGCTGAGTGCGTGATGTACACTAAAATTTATTGTAAAGGAAGCATAATGTTTACGGCCTACATTAAGAACAGACACGTACGATTTATTCGTACACCCACCTAAGAATCGGCAAACTATAATGGGAAAAGTGCTTGTATACTAAATTTGTAAAATGTAATTACCTATGTACTAAATATAATTACTTCTCAGTGCCTCTACCACGTGTTTACTGTGGCAGTTGTTGCTAGCGACTGCTTAAATTAATACACAATTTTGTATGGCAAATTATATAGCACTCCTACGGCCACAAGAAGGAACAACATTTTGTATACAAACCTTATACGCAGTCTCTAGCGATAACTGTCACTGTAATCTCATAGTAGAGGCACTGGTCTATGTGCCTAGTAGTGGGACGTATAAATAGGTTGTTGGGGATGATGACGAATTTAGTGAATAACCACCAAAGTCCTAATATCTACTTATTTACTTTAAAACTACAACACTGCTATTCAAAACATAGTGCCCTAAACCAAAATAATAATGCTGCACCGATACACAGAGTGTACCAAATTTATTAATTTATTTATTGTTACTAAGGCATTGAAAATTGAACTGGAATCGGTAATTAATTTCACCACGTTATTAACCCTTAACAAAAAAAGCAGGCGTATCTTGACACAGCTTTGCGTGTCAAGATACGCCTGCGTGTTTTTTACACCCTTTTTCTAACAAATTATAAGTTTTTGAATTGCGTTTCTCTATACTGGAAAGCCATTAACATATCCATGGCATAGGTCAAAATTAGATAGACTTTCCTAAAAAAACAAACAACGTAATTACAATTTGAACTCGTACCAGAATCAGTTGACACCTAACTCAGACTTACCTCGAAAATAATCATCGGAATAGTGACTCCGAGGACTATAGTCGATGATTCTCTAAGTACTTCGATGACTAAACTTTTGCAGCCTATGTCGAAGTATTCCTTCCTGGCCTTGCAGGTCTCTCGCTCTCTCTCTTGTACCAATGAGGATCGGTCGGGGGAGTAAGTGGGACAGCAGGATATCGGCACGTCTGGTGGGAAGATGATCGGCATGCGAGGAGTTCGGTAGTCCTCAGGGCTGTAGACGCCGCAGCAGTTGAGCTAAAGATTGGAAATTTGGATTACAATCACGCTCGTAGTGTTGATTTGGCTTTCTTGGACGCTTATCAAGTTTTTTTTCATAATATCAAGTGACGGGACGACCAAGTCGTGCGCCTGATGGTAAGCTACACGCCTATCCATAACAGTTGCAGTGACACTCAGAGCTTTAAATCACAAAGGTCTGAGGAACACAGCTACTGCGCCCGTCACCCTGAGACGTAAGTTGACAAGTCCCATGTGCCTGTAATTTCACCAGCACCCTTAATCTTCGTAATGCTAGCATTACTGCTTGACAGCAGAAATAGGTAAGGTGTCAGTACTTCCCTGGACAAATTTCTTCACAAGGAGGTCTACTGCTACTACAATCAAAGACTTTATCGATGCTTTTTATAGAATAAAACGATGTTCAATACCAGGCTGTAAATATTGTAATCCCAAAGTAAGTAACTAAAGCCCTTATGTTATGGAAATCGGAAACAACGACGGTAGCACAAACACCCACACCCGAGACCATATAGAAAAGTTAGTTTCTACATTGACCCGGCTGGGATTCGAACCCGGTACCTCAGAGATGGCAACACCATAAAAACAGGTGTGCACAACGGTGTGCGTTATTTATTCTTTGTTGTCATTGTTAGAGCAAAAGACTTCTAACATAGAAGCAGAGTCTGTACACCAGGAAAATTTTAACGCAATAGCCCTCTTTACACAGTCTATCTATGGCGCGTGATCATCGAACAGGATTGGGCACTGGAAAGCCTGCACGGGCAATCGTGCACGTTTATCTGTTTGAAGTTTTTAAAGCTAACGTCCTTTACAATTAGAAGACGATTTAGAGCGTTCGTATAAAGATTAATAGCGCAGGATAGAACGCGTGAAACTGGCATATGTTGGAGTGCGAGATTAAGAGCGCGACTGATAAGTGCAATGGCGCGGTTATTTCCTTTATCTTCCAACGCCTTTACACGCGCGCTCAATCGCTCATGTATAAAACCCGCCAATTGACACATAAATGATACAAAAAATATGGGTACTTAGAAACTCACGTCACTTTCAGTCGTCGTCCATATCCTCAAATGTCGTGGATTGTTCTCTCTGGCCAGCTTGAATGATTCTACTAACGACCTTGAGATTGTCGCCTCATCTGATGGGTATATCCTTAACGATATCCCTGATAAGATTGCTTGAATTATGGCCAGGGTAAATAGCACCAATGCAGACTGGAAAAAAATACAGTTTCGTATGATCGAATGTTTTCTTCTACAATTAACAATATTTAGTGTAACGTCATTAACTTTACAAGTGGTTTTTACTATGGCTGATGCGGAATAAGTGAATAACGACTTTGTGGAAGTTATTATTGCTCTTTTTCTTGTCGAGTTATTAACAAAAACCAACAGAAAACCAGTATTAGATACATTAGCCCAGTAAGCAGCCACCTCTATGCCCCTATCCGTTGCCTTTAGCTGGTCTTCGGGGGTGCAGCTGGTCGGACACAGTGACCATGAGAGCAAGTGAGAGTGTCCCTCCATCGACCAACTTGAGACCTGAGATGATTCAGGGATTTGCATAATGACCACTGCAGCTAGTGCTCGGGGGAAGACTTTCGGATTTGGTAATAAGATCAAGAGGAGCAGCGAATTTGACTTGGCAAATTCTTATTAATAACAACAGACGTATACTACTTGGCGTCATCGCAAACACCGGAGAATGGTTATCATATGAAGAATGATTCTTCGGTCGAACGTAGAGAGCCAACACCTCCTGACGATGCCTCGCAAAGATGGAACACGTTTCGAGAGTATTTTTGTTTTTTACCAAGTGACGGTACGAACTATTCTTGACAGTTGTAGTGTCGTTCAGAGCTTTTAATCGTAAAGATCTGAGGGGCACTGCCTCTGCGCCCGTCATCCTGAGACATAAGTTGACAAATCTCATGTGCTGGTAATTTCACCAGCACGCTTACCGTTCAAAACCGGAATACAGAAACGCGAAGCAGAAGCAGAAGTAGGCAAGGTGGCAGTACTTTCCGGGACGAACTCACAAGGAGCTTTATCGCTATTAAAAATTGTGATGGTATTGTAGTTAAGTTAAGCGGAGGTTGCGAAAATTAGTTGCATGTAAAAATATTCAACAGAATCGCTGCTTTTTGCACAATCTAACCCTCGCTGAGTAATTTAATTTACTCCACATTTATTAGATAAATTTGACTTTAAAACAAAGGAAAGGTACTAAAACTGTACTTTGAGGTAGTCTATTATGAGTTTTTAAATTTATTTTCCTGATTTAAATGCCATTGGAATTCGAATTGATTAAAAACATTATTGAATTAAAATCGGACGTGAACGGTTCGCGTGATATGCCAGTAAGAGGTTTCAGTGAACTCGAGTACTGTATTTCTAGTAGCAAAGTTCAAGTGAATGACCTTCGGATTCGATTAGCATAAACAAAAACTATAGAGGTTCATACTGATCTCGTAGTCGTTCCTCCAAATGTTTCTTTTGACTCTAGGAATCGGCCTGTACCATTAACTAGCAGCTAGTAAGCTCTAACGAATTTACTCAAGTGACGTCAGTGCCTCTACCACGAGTTTAGTGTGACAGTTGTCACTAGGGACCGTGTAAATTAGTTCACAATTTTGTATGGCAAATTATACAGCACCGCTAGTGGTCAAACAAGAAGAAACAACATTTTGCATACAAACTGACGCCTATATTATAATTTGCTACAACTCGATAAGATACTATAGATGACAATGAAGTGACATACCTATGTAATTTTGCGGTTTTGTCGTAAAATACATTGGTGTTTATGCGGTGTGATTGTTTAATTTTATGACTTCGCATACAGGTTGTAATTTTTTAATTAACATACAAAATCAGATAAGTCAACCTGTATATGATTACGTATAACAAACAAGACGCATCGTTACTTACAATACTCATCCTTGCGTCATATTACCGCTTGGCCGCAGAAATAGATAAAGTGGCAGTACTTTCCTGAACGAATTCTTTCATAAGGAGGTTTATTGCTACTGATCGACGACGTATGATCATAATACAGGGTGGCCAGGAAGTGATGGTTTAAACGAAATGAGGATGTAGGGTATTAGTATTTCCAATTGATTTAACTATGTACTGGGATTCGAAAAGTGATGATTTAAAAGTTATTCAACTCTTTTGTTTATTTGGAAAAATCGCTAAGAGCACCCCTAAAAAATCACAAAAAATACTCACAAGGATTTTCGAAGTGATTTTTTTTTGGCCTTACGTTTGTGACATATATTTTATTTTTCCGACAGAACTCTTTTCACAAACATCTCTTTAGTGAACAATTTTCTTTCCACTAAACACAAAACTTTGTTTTCAAGAGAATCTCACTAAAATAAAATGCACTACGAAAAGGTGTCCCTGTGGCAGAAAAACTAGTGCATTCCATGCAGATTCTAACGATATAACACATGGTCTTTATTTCTACAGTTACATTTATTTGAATTTTTTGTAAACGAGGTCAGTTTTTTACATAGTATTAATTCCGTCACAAAGGATTATTTTTTGTTTAAAATGGACTTTGACTTGGATGGAGGAACTTCTAAACTTATCCATGTCCATGGCACCTGCGATACAGGGCTTCCCTACTGCTTTATTTAAAAAGTATAGAAACATCTTCGAAAGTAACCCAACAAATGGATGTAAAGCATTTTGTATCTTATTTCAATTACCACTGCGGTTGGTGACGTTTCGAAACTTACCGCATATAACGGCTTGACTTTCTTGGTAGACACTCCAACAATAGCATAAATTGCAATGCAGAGGGCAATGGCGGCAGTCACAGCGAGAATGATCATGGCTACCAGTCGGCCTGATAAATCACTGCTGTAAATCTTGGTGGCGAAGGCTGTTGATGCTGCTACTATAATGACTGCCAGGGAGTTTATCTGGAAGAGGTAAATTTATTAATAAAACCACGCTAGCCTAATGGTTTGGCATACCTCCTCTCAAATAGAGACCGTGGTTTAGAATTCGGGCTAGCATTTAGTTGTAATTTAATTTGAAATTTATTATGAGCTTTTCGGTGAAGGAAAATGACGCGATGAAAGCTGCACATCGAATAAGATTCACAACACTCGGTAAACTTGAGTCGAATCATAATGTGCATTCCTAGTTGGAAGTTGAATTAACGTTAACGGCAGGTATATAAACCATATTTGTGCGATTCGTTCTGTGTACCGTTTAGGTTCTCGGGTTTCTCTCAGAGAAAAGTTTAAGGAGATTGGTATCATGACTGTGGCATCACACTACATTTACTCAAATATTTTGTATATCTGTAAAAATATACATAATTTCGTTAAGAAAGACGATATCCATAATATTAACCTTAGAACGAAGTCCAAACTCATGGTACCACGATTTCGTTTAACTAAGGTAAACGATTCTTTTATGGGGAACTGTATACATTTTTACAATAAGATTCCGGAGAATATATTAAGATTATCATTTCCTAAGTTTAAAACTTACATTAAAAGTATTTTAATTGAAAATTCGTATTACAAAATTGAAGAGTATGTTTTAGATAAAGAAGTATGGAAAGACAACAAGAATCTAGATTCCACACAATTATGATTCCAAGACAATTCCCTTGCATTTAAGTTTATTTGAAAAGAGCAATCCCTAGAGTTTCTTGCTCGTTCTTCTCAGGGAGGTCAGAGTAGTGAACCAGCAGCTTAAAAAAGTGACGTTTTCAAGTGTAAAAATGTTACCTATGGAATAAATGATTATCTGACTTTAACTTTGGTTCATCAGCTTCGCGGTGGCAACGGTTGTTAGGGAGGGCCACTATAAATGAAACTTAATTAGAAAGATATGAGCCTGCTTCAGCATTACAGTCTGTTTTAGATGTATAATGGTGATGCAGGCTCAACGGTTCTTGCTAAACTTCGCAATAATAGAACTCGAGAGTGAAAAATCTATACGAACCACTGTGGCAATGGCCAAGAGAATAAACAAGATCTTGGCACAGATTAAACCACACGATTCCCCGTTCTTCATTTTTTCAAGCTTTTTTTTGTACAGCACTTCTATGCGATTCGCCTTTTTGTGGCAGTCCGGGTTGTCTTCAGCATTGTGATCGTGTTGGGGTTTTTTTTCTGTGAAACAAGAAATTTTGTTGCATAATATTTAAATATTAAACAAATGTACTGCTAAACTGCATAGAGACTTGGCAACGGAGCTGCGGATAGTTACATATCGATGCCTTACTTTCTCAAAGGTAACCTATCACAAACTCGAATTTCTTTTTTCCGAATTTCATTAGTCCGAAAACGGTTCGACTTTTTTTCATTAGTGCGATGACAGTTTTGGTATAAATTTCAAGACAGAATTGTCTTACAGCAGAAGTATCGTTTGCACGAAAACCTATTGGTAGAATAATTGTTACACATATGTATTCTTTGGGTAGAAGTTTGTTTGGTCTAATCAAGTTTGTTATAAAACTGGCTGTTTTCCATATGATTTAGATTGCTGAAAATGCTTACTAATTATTATTACTATTCTTAGATAAAATTGTACCGCCGTACAATTTTACCATACAGCTCCACAATTCTGGAAATCATGTTACTAGCTGGTGATAGGTAACCATCTTATAAAGAGTGATTATTCAGGAGATGGCGAAACTAGATAGCAATAAAATTTAAAATAATTAGAAAATTATTTTAAATTTCTTATCAAGGGTGTTAATTTGAATGCTTTAAGTACTTTAAGAATAGATAAAAACCACTATATAAATATGAAGGGAATGTGATGTAAAATCAATCTGCAAAATTTGTCTATTCAATCCATTTTTTGCATTTCAGTAATTTTGTACTTTGAGATATGAGTTTAAGAAAGTAAGGCGACGTATGACACTTCACGGAATCACGCGATTTGTGATAGGGAAATAGCGTACACACTTTGACACTTAAGATCTAAACTCCACTCAACAAGAACGGTCTCAAGTCCTAAGTGTTATGAGATGTGCATTCGACTACAAGTTCCCAATGTGTTTTGTCGCAGCTACCGCGCCGCGTGAACTCGCTGCTTTTCAAAAGTAGTGGCCCAATCCAAAATTGACTTTTTAATTAGTTACTGACATTTATTCCTGCAAATGCTAAATTTTATTGCGGTCTAATTCAAAGCTTTTCATTGGTTAGAATAATCACATGACAACATTGGGATTGTCTACGATTCGTCAACTTTCTTTTTTAAGCCATCAGACTGGAGATAGTCCAATTACGCGTAACTAGCATTTCATTATGAGTCTCCATACCGGTAATTTAGTGGACAAATCAAATCCGCGTAAACGTCGTGGCAACCAAATTAGCGTGATTTACGGGGATCTATTGTTATCAGTCCGTAGACAACACAAATTAATGCTTACTGTGTAAAAATTGTAGTCCTAGCCATTGAAATACCAAAGTAATAACGTTAAATGCCTTTCCTGTAGTAATTTGGTTTATGCGGGTACGTGCTTTTTGCCAACACTACTTACGAGGATTGGCATTATCCCCGACTTCCTGATGAAATAGCTTTCCTATTTTGTCTCGAGTCTGGGTGTTTATGGTACTGTAAGCTTGGACGTAGCTCGTGTTGCGTAGCGAGAGGTACTTTTGTAAATATAAACTGGGATAATCTTCAAAACTTGCTTTATTGTACTTTTTTGCATATTTTCTGACTCGGGTTACATCTCGAACCCTCAAGATGTTCTATTCTTTCTAATCTATTTCAAACACATTCTAAATACAAAACTATATTCACTCAGCCAGTGATTCTACTCATAGAGTAGAGCCTAGACTACAGTACCGTCATTGTTTCCTATTTCCATAACACAATTGCTTTAGTTACTTTGGGATCAGACCATATTTCTTTATTTTCCGGATCACCTTTAAAGAACCCGAATCGTTGGTTTGTTTGAAAATACAAATTATACGCAATGTAGATCCGAAAAAAAATCGAAAATGAACGATTTACACTACAAATATTATTTATTGCACAGCTACAACTGGCGGCCTTATGGCTAAATAGCAATCTCTTCCAGGGAGCCTTCGGGTTACAGGAAAAACTGTAAGATAAAGTTGAGGGAGCAACAGAATACGTGTTTAATACACATATTGCACATGCACTCAGCAAATCATACGAATTTCTTTCCAGCTTGCTGCAGGGTCTTTGGTTTTTGAACCACTTTTTTGCCACAGCTCCACCCGTGAGAAAATTACGTGTTTTCTTCACCCAGGTACCTTTAGGGTCAAGTAACACTGAAAGTGCAGAAGCGCGCAGCAGCCGGAGAAGCTAACACGGTGACTCTTTAAATCAGTCGCTACAAGTTTCGCGCGGCCTCGCGGCTGCTCGCGGTGCCACACTATACATTCTATCACTTTAAAGGAATTTGAACTTTTTTTTAGAAGATAAGATTCCAAATGCTAAGCTTTGTACTAAAAATGCTCTGGCTGCTGCTCTTTCAGCGTGACTTGACCCTTATAGCTTAGCTAAACTTTGTACAGTTGGCGAAACATTGTTTGCACCGATTCAACTTATCACTTCATCTTTGGAATACAAGAGGACAAAAGAGTGAACAAGTTACAAGTTTGAAAAAACGGCCTGAAGAGCAAAGAAATAATTTAAAACTAGGATTCAGAAAAACAAACATTTAGCGCTCCCATGATTACGCTTGAGTAAAAGAAGCGGTAATGGTTTTATTGCTGTATTGTAATAGAAAGAATAAGCCGTTTCAAGAGATAACATTCATTGGTGCAAATAATATTTCTTCCACTGGACCAAAAATGCTCCTTCGGCCGCAGCTCTTTCAGTGTGACTTGACCGTTACGGTTACGAGCGCTCGACAAAAGATGTCGCTTTGTCATTGGTTATTCTTGTGAAAGTACTCCATTTATAGTCGCCATATTTCGACAACGATTGACAGGAAAAGTGAACTTTAGGGGTATAACTAGTTATAAGACACTGACTTTTTAAAAAGCGACTCGCGAAGGCCGCTACTTGCGCCTGCGCGTAAGCCTGGCGATCCAAAGGTAGAGCCTTAACCTCCAGGACACCACTCTCGGCCCTCGAAGTTTCATATCTATTTTAAAAACATTCTACTATTATTGCTCCAGGTTACAAAAGTGGATGACTTTATACGCCAATACTTTAAAATGTAGTGTCCTAAAGGTGCTCTAGTATTGATTCTGTAACACGATTTTTGTTTATTGGCTATGAGCAAAAAATTGAAAAACTTTATTTTCCTGCAAAAACTTTGCTTATGCGGTCAGTACAACGAAAATCATGGAAGAGTACAATATTTTTTTTGTGTGACGAATTATTTTTTTTAAGTGACGAAACGAACAAGTCGTGGGCCAGGTGGTAAGCGACACACCTGTCCATAACAGTTGCAGCGCCACTCAGGGTCGTATTTCAGAACTCTACTCAATGCTCAAGTCAGGACTGGAGTATGATTTAAAGCACTGAAAATCATACTCAAGTCCTTGCCATTAGGGTCGTATTTCCAGTGCTTGAAATCATACTCAAGTCTGCTCAAGTCCTGACTTGAGCATTGAGTATGTTCTGGAATACGACTCTCAGAGCTTTAAATCGCAAAGATCTTAGGGGCACTGCTACTGCGCCCGTCACCCTGAGACATAAGTTGACAAGTCCCATGTGCCTGTAATTTCACCAGCACCCTTACCCTTCAGAACCGGAACACCGTAATGCTGACATGACTGCTTGGCGGCAGAAATAGGTAAGGTGGCAGTACCTCTTTGGACGAACTCTTTGACAAGGAGGTCTACTGCTATTAATTTACTAATTTTCAGGTTTGTCTTTAGTAACCGCCAAAAAAAGGAGGAAATTCCCAATTCGATTTCGATTACTCCGACTTCTGTGCGCCGATTTCGATTATTCTTTTTTTGTTGGGAAGGGGGCACTCAGTAGTGGTCCCATTTAAGTTTGAAGAAAACATTACATTCCACCTAAAGAATGATCATGACGTTATAGTAGACATATTTTATATATTGACATATATTATAAATTAAAGGCACATGGGACTTGTCAACTTATGTCAGATCTTTGCAAGCGCACCACTTGTTCGTCCCGTCACTTGATATCACAGGCAAAAAAAATTACAATCCCTAGAAACTTGTCTTTCCAAAAATTAAATTAATTTATGAAAATAAAGATTTTTCGAAGTGGAGTTTGAAACCATACGGACATTACAAATGATAGAAGAAAAGGCTGATCGTACCCTTTACAAGACCAATAATTTTGGTCAATATGACGTAACAAACTCATAACACAAAAAATATATATATAATAAGTAAAGTAACCTCAGTGGAGGAGCCGCCCAGGTACGATAGGTACCAGTAGCAAGGCGTGAAAATTGTCTTTAGTAAAGCGCCGGAGCAAAACAAAAACCACTTACCCTATCAAACTTATTAGCACACAAGATACTAGTACACTTTATGCCACTGTTTAATTATTCTACACGTGAAATCAAGCACAAAAAGGTAGTCAATTTTTGATACGTGGATTTCTACTCAAAAACTAGTAGTATAATGTCCCATATTGAAGAGCAGGAAGTTTGTTGGCAGTTATCACAATCACTAGTACAAAAGACTTAAGTTAATAGCACCGTCCATAATAAAGTGGAGTAATTCGAAAATTAACATTTTGTGAAACTGAAAAAAAACGATTTAAAAAAGGTAGCCTAGAGTCAAACCAAAACACTGTAAGTCTCAGTATAGAGTTTTGTAATTTTTAATGGCAAGAATCTTTCGATTGTTATGAGGCAAAACAAATTTATTCCGTTTTTCAGTAGAAATATTACATAATGTTAGATAGAATTCTTGTATATCTTGTGAACAAAGTAAGTTAATTGTATCTTATATCGTCGATGTTTTGTAGAAAAGGCGAAAGCGCTATTTCGAAAAGAAGTTCAGTGGAGCCTGTTTTATTTTTTCACGACTGCTTTAAAATATTAACGTCCCGTTTTAAATTCAGTTTTAAAATTAAAACAATTAAAAACCAAAATTAAATTTTTAAACAGGACGTAAATATTTTAACCTGAAAAACTGCTTAACACAAAAATCATTTTTGGCAAACAACATTTTCTCAAAATGCTGTT